AATACTGTATTTCTATCAGCTCTTCTACACTCTGAAATGGGATCCACCTCAGAAGTCCAGTATCATTGGAGCTCTGCTATTTGCATCGACTTTGATTTGATTGATTTATTCCCTGGAGTATACTCTTACCAATGCACGGTTTACCGTTAAATCTAATTGTAAATCTAATCTTGACAAAATCAGGAATGATTGTAGTTGTTGTCAAAGTAGCTGCATTTCTCAGTGTGTCATGTAACTGGCTGATAACTAGCTCTTGGATATTATGCAAAGGCTAAGGTTAATGCATTTGCTTCATGCATCTTAAATAGTGGGTTGATTGAATTACTCAGGTTAAAACATGTAATATCAGCTTTCGCCAGATGGTGGTGCTCTAGGATCAGAGGATCAGCTCTACTAATGCAGGTGGGAGGTTGCTAAGATCCATTTCATATATACAATGGGGCAAAAAAGTATTTAGTAAGCCACCAATTGTGCAAGTCCTCCCACTTAAAAAGATGAGAGAGGCCCTGTAATTTTCATCCTAGGCATACCTCAACTATGAGAGACAAAATGAGAAAAAAAAAAATCCAGAAAATCACATTGTCTGATTTTTAAAGAATTTATTTGCAAATTATGGTGGAAAATAAGTATTTGGTCAATAACAAAATTTCATCTCAATACTTTGTTATATACCCTTTGTTGGCAATGACAGAGGTCAAACGTTTTCTGTAAGTCTTCACAATGTTTTCACACACTGTTGCTGGTATTTTGGCCCATTCCTCCATGCAGATCTCCTGGGCAACACGGACTTTCAACTCCCTCCAAAGATTTTCTATGGGGTTGAGATCTGGAGACTTGCTAGGCCACTCCAGGACCTTGAAATGCTTCTTACGACGCCACACCTTCGTTGGCCGGGNAAGAAGTATGCATAAAAAAATTGAAAAAATAAATATTAAAAATGAAAAAGAAAAAAGAATTACACAATTTACAAAATACTAACATACACAGCCTGTAACAGTTCTGAAGAAGAGCAGCCATATTGCACAGTTATTCACGGAATATATATATATATATTGCACATATTGCATAGTGCTCCATGATACAGCAGCAATAGACCTAGTGGAAACCAGAAAAATAGCTTGTATTTGCCCCATGGGGTACTGGTGGTAGCAAAAACTATAATTTTGAAGTTGGAACCCAAAGCCTAATCTATTAGAATGAATGAGTGTGTGCTCTAATGGCTAGTGGAACTAAAATGAGGATTTCAATGGGGAACGTGTTATACTTAAAAGCCTGTCTGTATTTTGGCTTTACCTTTTTTTAATACACTTTTTATGGAGCTAAAGTTTAACTTAAAAAAACACACATTAGCAAAAATGTATGCCATATGCATTATCAAAGCCAAAACCATGAAAAATGTCTAATTTAACTAAACATTTATACTAATGGTGTATCTTATCTTTGAAGCGACCTCCTCCAGGACAGTGGCAGAGACTAACGGTGAGTTCAGGACCATGACGGGGACCATCCAGCTCGGGAGGAAGCTCATCACCAAGTACAACCGCAGAGAGCTCACCGACAAGCTGCTCATCTTCCTGGCGCTCGCCCTCTTCCTCGCCACCATTCTCTACATCCTTAAGAAGAGACTGTTCCCCTTTCTGTAGACCAGGTACCTTTTTTTCCAGAGGAGCTCTTCCATTACTACATACAGCACTTTCCTCGGTCAGCGCAAATGATTTAAACAACCCTGACTGCTGCGTGTCGTGTTACACACACATTACACACGAGTGTCTGCTCCGAGGAATGTGCCCCGCTCATTCTGCTGAAGCGGGCGCTGCTGAGGGGGAATACTGTGCTCAAAGAGCGAAGAGAAACCCACACACCTATGGTTCCATGATGTGTTTTCATTATTTATTGGTCCGAATTGTGTCCGTCAATGTGACAGTAATGCTGTGCATTGCTTTTAAATGAAATAAGTTGAGAGAGAAGATGCACAAACCATAATAATCTTTTCTTTTGTACATTCCTATGGACAATATCCATTTCGGTTTTTGCTCCATATGTATAAGTATATCAAAGACGTACAGTTTATCCGTATTTATATGCCTATATTTATATATACACACCCAGACTCTTATTGTACAGAAAGTCATTCTCAGACCCCTAAGATACTCCTTCAGTTTGCCTCTGTTTCTGTGGCTAAAGGTAAAATGCTGACGGTGGTAATGACAAACAATGGTTAGGTTTAAAAAAAGGATGAGGAAAATAATGTAAACCCTGGTAATATCTAATAATCACAAAAAAGTTCCACCATTCATTTCAGTTCAACAAGCTTTGATTGGCATACATGTCATTTAAGAGTGTTTATAGTAGTGTTCAATACTTTCAAATACTATAAATCTATAGTAGCATTACATATCACAATGTCAAGGATTTATATTGTCTGGTATTGAATATAAGTATGAACAAAAAAGTGACACATTCACATATCCTCACTGATGTTTCAATCAAACTTGTTCAGATTATTCAGATACTTTGCAAATGATGGCAACATTCCCTGTTATTGTTATTTATTAGGATGTACTGTATACTTAAGTGAGTTTTAATTTATTACAGCACAACAATGACTGAGTTCTATATTTAGTAAGTGTAGTATTGAAATGGCTTTTAGCTTCACTGTCCATCAGTTTGCTATTCAGAATGGCGCTTGCACTTGTATAAGTGCTATTCAAATTGTCTATATGCTTTCGTCACATAGCGTGCAAACAAAAAATAATATATGATTTTTAAAGCGTGTGCCCCCTCCCCTCCATCTCCGCCCGGTTGAGCCCCGCTCTGCTCTGCAGCGCAGCAAAACGGCTCAGGCCGTGGCAGGGATCACCCTGGCAGAGATAGAGCAGCATACATCCCTGCCTTTCTTCAGATAAGACCCGGAAAAGCAGATTATTCCGACCCGTTTCCCTTTCCAGTGTGGGTGGAGGGTGAGGGGGGATATTTTTAGCTTTGTGTGGTGCTGTTATCTGACTTTGCCTTTTCAACACCTCGGAGGAGAAGGTGGCCAGAGGAGCTACATGACCTTGCTACCCTGTCTGCTATCGCCTGCCATTGCCTTTTCTGTTTAATATATGTTAATGTGGTCAGTGTTAATCATCAATAAACAAAAAGTCTTCTGACTTGATGTTTGACATGTTTCTCAAACGTGTGTTTCTAAGGGTTCATAATGAGAGGAAGACAACAGAGTGTGTGTGTGGAGAGAGCTGAGAGAGGCCTAAGCGTCTCTTACTCGTGTAAAGTGGCAGCGGGGCAGAGCCGGCCTGTTCCTATAACTGCACACTTAGACAAGGACTCTGGCTCTCTGTCAAGCAAATTGGACTATTCTTACATTTAGCACCGTGATAGTGTCAATCAAGTGTTTGGGTTTGTATCTGGACAAGTGGACGGGGGTCTCAGAGGAGCGTACACGGCACCACACTGATGGCGTAAACACAGGAACCAGACAGTCTCTTCTGAATTCATGAAGTCCTTTTTACGGCTAAAGGGAGCTTTCTGTGTAATGTATCAGACTGTTGCATACATTAATTGTCATATTTCAGTCTGAGACCTTTAATTTTCAAATAGGGCTAGGCAATAGTAGTTTTTCATCGATAACATGATACAAGTCTTAGCTTTTGGATATCAAAAGTGTAACATAAGTATTGTCGTTACTGATTTTAAAGGCTACATTTCATAAGTGATGTAATTTTCTGAACTCACCACACTGTTCTACCTGATTTCCGACTTTGTTATTATACTGATGATTATTACAAATCTCATTATGTAAATATTTTGTCAAAGCACCATAATTCAACTTTATATTATCGAAAACATGGTTTAAGATATAGTATGTTTGACTTTCTTCATACAGTCCAGCTCTATATAAATAAACAGTAATGACTAAGCCAAACCAAAATAATTTCAAAAAGGAAGTCTTTAATAATTAAGTAAACTGTCCAAAAATAGATAAATATTTTGGATCAGGTAACATCATGAATTTGTCATTTGTACAAGTACAGAGAAAAAAGGTTGCTGACTTTCAGAATGGCATTTTGAGAAAGTGTATAGAAAAGTCTTGTACACACAATATAATAAAAGAAAAATCGAAAAGTTTGCATATCCACAGAATTAAAAACAGCATTTCCTCAGCAGAACTTGATGTAAAAACATTTAGTACCGCTCAAGGTCATGGCTGACAGCCATCTCTGTAGCAGTGACTTAAAACATGTGTGTAGGTGGCTGACAGGGAGCATTAAAAAGTGTCAACTCTGAACAACCTTTTAACCTTGTTTAAGAACATTGAAGGAAGCTTCCTAATGGCCACTTGAACATTTTAACCAGACACAAACCATATGAAGGTTGTAAAAACTTTAGGATCCTGCTGGTTAACCAGTTCAACCATTATGTGACCCACAGACATAGTTCACTATATTATATACTTTATCATGTATTTTATATAGAGCCAAATTAGAGCAAATTATTGTAATTTCTTTTTCAGAATTAAATAGCTTATTTCAAGCAATATATAAGACAATAATAGTAATTACATGTACAATAATAGCCTTATATAATTAATAAATTAACCCCTTATTTGCAAGTGGTTGTATATTTTTTATTCTCGCCCACTGAATCTGATCTGTAGGTACAAATATCGAATAATACAATTGGAGTCAATACAAATAATAAAATAAAAGGAAGGGAAAGGAAATTGTTGTTCTAAAATAACATTTAAAGAACTTTGCTTGCATATTTTTTTGGCTCAAATTTCACATCTGTGCGCTCAGTCAGATCTTGACATTTGTTTTACAGGGCATGAAAATCAATACAAATGTAAGCTATTCAGTGCTTAAAACACAAACGAAAAACTATCAGAAATAAGTAATTTGATATAATAAAAGTTAGACGACACTCTGAAAGTCTTTACACATTTAAAAATACATGCAATCGTAAAACAACCCAGTTAAACTGAAACAGAAACACAGATCTGTTTACCACGTCCTAATGCCATGTAACGAAGACACCCCATTACTGGAGGAGAATGTGTTCTGCACGTTATTCAGGTCCCCCACCCCGAAGTTCATGTAGTTCCCGTTGTTGGAGGACCCTTGCATAGTTTGCATCGTGGCTGCAGGATAGTTACACGCATAGTTTGTGTTGCAGCCGGGGCTGGTATAGTTACTGAAAGCCGGGTAGTTGTTATACGTGAAATGGTTGATGTGCCCCATGCTGTAGGACGGGTTGTAGGAGCCTGTGTCTGCGGCCAGGCAGGGCTTCCCGTCCCGCACCAGCACCGGCACCGACACCCTCCTGGGCGGCGGCAGCGACACCATCTCCAGGCTCTGGTCCTGCCTCTGCCGCTTGCACTTGTACCTCCTGTTCTGGAACCAGATCTTCACCTGGGTCGGGGTGAGTTTGAGCCCCCCGGCCAGGTGGTCTCTCTCCGGGGCGGACAGGTACCTCTGCTGCTTGAAGCGCCGCTCCAGCTCGTACACCTGCGCCTGGGAGAAGAGCACGCGCGGCTTCCTGCGTCTCCTTGACTTGGTTCGGTTCGGATCCTCGGGTTTTGTGTCTTCCACAGGAGGGCTGAACTCCTCTAAACACACCAGACATAAAGAAAAGGATGAACACAAATCAATCACATTCAGAATTCCTGTATTAATCCCATAGCTGGGATAGTGTTACAGATAGTCACATACAAAAGAAAAGCACACATTAGTAATAACAAAAAACTAAATAAAAACAGAAATACACAACCATTGCTAAAAATGAATAGAACAGTGAGAGTTGGAAATCTATTTACCCATTTGGGCCTAGAGCTATTTTTACTACAGCATCTTAGGTTACTTAAATAATAATAATGATAATATTGTCCTTTTTTGGTTAATTAGCTTGTGCATACGAAATTCAGTTATTTTAGCTGACCATGATGTATTCAGTGTGTGATTTGGAAAAATGCGCACGATTTATAGATGTGGAACACATATAAAGGACACTTCGATAAATAACTGCAACCTTTGGTAGTCATTTTTAAAAACAGGATATTTTTTTGGATTATATAACTCCTAAATAAATGTAGCAGGCCACAAGAAAAAGCTCATTCCAACTCGACTTTTTACGGTTAGAAAATCCAGGCCTGTGTCCGCAGTGAAGGACTTTGTCCTGTATTACTGTTTTTTTTTTTCTTTAGTGAACTTTTTCTTTAATATGTGGTGCGTTGTGCACGAATAAAAAAAACACGATTCATTGGGCCTATGTTTGCACAGGACTGCACAATAAAATGTTCCTGCTTTCCTCATCTCACCTTTTCTACGTTTCCCCTCAAACGCGTCTGATTTCCCATCCTTAACCAAATCTATCTCCATGAGGGATTTCCCATAAAAGGTAGTAGCGAAGTTGAGTGCATTTCCTCTGCCGGCTCTGGGCTCCTGCAGGTCTTCTCCAAACATCGAGATGGCGGACGACATGTCCCGGAGAGGCTCCTGCTTCAGGCGGGCCAGCATGCAGGAGGAGGAAGAGGAGGAGGAGGAGGAGGATGAGGAGGAGGTCGGCACGCTGCAGCAGTCCATACGAGAAGAAACGTCCAGAGGAGACACCATAACGTCATGACTCTGCTCCAGGTTTAATATATCCTTTACAGAGAAGGGAGTGGACGTGCTGCTGGGGCAGGGAAACATTGCCAAGAACTGAAAAAAATAAACTATTAACCTGTCATGTGGAAGTAACAAAAAAAACGTCAACAAAGTCCCTCTCCTTCCTGGTAATATTTACTGTATTCAAGTATTAGTTTGGTGTAGCAGACTGATCTTGAGTGAGGGAAGTGGGCATTTTAAATGTCAACTCTTCTCCTCTCAGTGACGCAGGGGGGAGGAGGAAGGGGGAGCCACTGGGACCCTCTATATGGAGACAATGATACTCCCATTTCATGACACAAAGTGATGTCTGGTGCATGTCCCTTATAGGCCTACATGTGTCCAATCACTGTTGTATATATACAACAGTGTTGTATATGTGCAGTTGGGCAGTTGGGTTGGTGTTGTAACAACACCAACAACACCAACCCAACTGTTCTTCCTACAAAGCATATTAGTTATAAATGTTTCCCTAAATCAAAGATAGCTTTGGTGAAAAACGTTCATATTTCTATATTTTTATCATGTGAAATAACCTTCTCGTTCAATGAATACGCTATTTTCAGTGCTGTAGTCTTTACGCACGATTCCCAGTCAGCTTTTAGACGGATGTTTACACACATCTTCAAGTACCAAGAGAAATGATTTATCTAACTGCGTCTACATCAAACGTGTATAAAGACTGACTGATGAATCAAACATGCATCATGTAGGTTCCATGATGGAGGAATTATAACAAGTGAGGTTGTCTGATCGTGCGCGTGCATGTGTTTGGGGGTGTCGGCCAGGTCCCTTGCCTCATCCAAGGGGAAACGGAGCAGACAACAGGTTGGGTCCCTGGTCAGGAACTTGAGACCAGCAGCGACACACTCTGCTGTCTGCCTCCGAGAGATTCTGGAGCCACTGTCTGCGCTATCAGGACGTGATAACAGATGACAACAAACACACACACACACACACACACACACACACACGCACACGCACACACACACACACACACACACACGCACAGACACAATCCCACCCACGCTGCTGGCCAGGTTATCCTAAATATGTGTCATATATGACACCCATGTTTTTACAAAAAAAGATACACGTTGTATTGCCTTTAAACTTTAATTTTTTGCCAAATCGATATTTGTTTGATCAATTCCAGCTTTAAATCCCAATATGCTATTCTGTAAGAAAATAGGGACACACAACTTCTATATTTGAATACACATGGCGTGTGTCGTTTATTTAAACATCTTAAAAATCAACATGTTGGAAAACACCTCGTGTCTCCATACTGACACTGTGCAACTGTTACTGTGCAGGTTAACATCACAGAACATGATTTCTAGTGTTAAACCAAAGACAATCGATACTTGTGCCTTTAGAATCTGTTACAATAATGTCGAATACATACATGGAACAACACATTACAAATCATTTAGCCAGACAGCAGTAAAATGGAGTGCGCAATGACGCATTAGCTCCATGTGTCTCCCCTTGCACAATTGGCACTAAACCTGCTATTAATGCCTGTGGAGACGGTCACAGGAGACAGACAGTATTATCGTTTGTTTTATCTTCAACGTTTAGCACAGCCACGGGGTAAATGGGTCCCCCTGTCTCCGACCCAGCGATGGTGTTTATAGTTTTAAAGACTATTTGTGCGCCTCGAGAGCTGATGAATGGCCGTAAAATCTCTCTCAGGCGCAGTGAGAGTCAACACTGGCCCGGCTCTTGCTGTAATAATTGGCGAAATAAAGTAAACTCAAGGGGGAGGGAGGAGGGGGCACGAGACACAAGGGAACATGTTTTCTTGATGATTGATTTCCGCTGGCTTTGTGCGGTTTTGGACGTAAGGTCTCACCATTTTATTTCTTTAATTGCAAAAAGATATGACTTTAAAACTATTAATCCCGTGGGATAGGCCCGTATCATCCACCACAGAACCTTCAGCTGTAACTAAACCATCCAGTCAACTGTAAATTGAACATGACAGGTCTGGCATGTGTTTCATATCCCTAATGCTTCGTCCCGGCCCGCAGCTCCCCTTTGACCCGTCTTTCTGCAGCACATCTCCAACTCAGATAAAGCTTTAGATAAGGTTGCTTAAAAACTTCCGCTGCACGAACGTGTGGGTATTTTGAGGGCTGCCTGTGTGTCGAAGTGAGGACCCCCCTACATGTGCGGGACCAAATTAAAATGTCTGTCTCTTGCCTAAACGTTCCTGGTGCCTCTCTCTGTCCTGGAGGCCTTTTGGTGATTAGATCCATTAACTGTTCACTGATTAGACTAATTAGGATGCAACAGGCTCATTGGGATATAATCCGGTTAGGAATGACATCGCAAACATTTTACACTTTCTCCACCAAAGCTGCCTGGCGTCTGTTCACAATGCCAGCGGCTTGAAGTGATGGACATCCAAAAAAGTTAAAGTTGTGGTTCCTAAAAATGGCTTTATGTTGAATTAGGGATGCATTATAATTGTTTAATCTAAACTTTAGTAATGTCTCCTTTAGCTTTGGATTGTAACTCAGTATCCCCTAAACTTTAAGCACTGCAATAATTGTGACATACGCTACTTGTACTCGACTTGAATAATGTACTTTCCACATTTTGGACGCAAATATAATTCTCTTTAATTAAATATCTATATAAATTACTACATTTTAAGCAGATTCCAAATACTAATATAAAATACAAATTATATAAAAAATGGTGATATATTGGTTTAGGATTAGCTAAACCAGCAGTGTGTTGAGTGACTCAAATTATTTTAACATGTATAAACTGCAACAAAATGAACACATTCCTGCATTAATAATTATATTTTGGCCTTATATAATGAAAACCAAGTTGTGAAATAGAACTTTCCCCATAATGGGTTCTTTTTCTTTTTGTAGGTTAAGTATATGTTTAAGCTCCTGTCCTTTTAGTCAAGTTAATTTTAAATGCATGACCTTTTCTTGTAGCAGAGTGTTTATACTGCTCAGTTTTGCTATACTTGACTTAGTTAAAAGAGCTGAATACTTCTTCCACCTCTGCTCATTGTTGATAAGCTTTAATTAAAAAAAGACAACAAATAGTAACTAATGACAAATAATTTAGCTCTAAAAAATAAAATGTAGATCATTTGAAAAGAAGCCAGAAATATATTTGTTGTGTTTATACACAAACACATAACTTAATTCCCTAATTGATTGTGCAGTGCATATACAAAAGATAAACATTCCATGTGTGCAAGTTTATAATGAAATATTTACAAATGTAATACTCATCCGTGTTTTTAGTATTTTACTGCATAATGCACATAACATCAATGAAAACACACACACATAAGCAAAAATGTCTCAATGCATTTGCCAAAACAATATGCTATACAACATAAGATTAAAGTGAAATCAAATCAACCTTATTTTACAAATGAAGAAAAATAAAGTGATTTGAAGAAGTGAAAGCTGTGAGCTTCCCTGACCAAACAGGGTCTTCCAAAGCCGAGGCTGGAAAAGAAAAAGCCCTCCCGACTCTTTTAATCTGACCGGGACAGCCAGAAGGGCACCTCGGTTCCTACCGTGTTAGTTCGGTGATGTGGGAATCTGTAAAAACCCTAAACGTAATAGAAACCACTTTCGTTTGGCATACATCACAAATCTGACTGTGCCTTCTGATGAGGATATAATCTATAAGAGAAAATCCCACTGACACTGTGGAAGTAACAAAGGCTGCACATTTTTAACACAGTTTCAACCAGTATTAACTACTATTATTATTTAACCAGTACCACTCCATTTTAAAAGTAACTTTAGCCTGATGTGTGATATATTTAACTTATTAAAATGTTTCACCAAATCATAAAAAACTACAAACATACAACACCAATTTTATAACATCATCACACTTTTATCAGGAGAATCAAAAAAACATTCCAGCATTTTATTTTGAAATTCAGCAATACTTAAAATAATTCACCATACAATTTAAATTCATTCAAAATGTAGATTTGTTTTACCTTTGAATAAAGTGTCTGACCTGACAATCACACATTTCAATGGGTAGATCTGGTAAATGCCTGGACAACTTTAATAATTTCTCAGCACAGCTGTCTGTCTTTAAACTTTCAAATTAGTACTTTCCTTTGTTAAAATGCAGACTACTGTATTAATAATACAAATTCCAATTTAATTCAACATTAATACTGAGTAGCCCTAGATTAAATGTATCCTAAATTAAACGTAAACCTTTAAACTGATTCACATTGTGGTCACATCATAACATCAGACAGCTTTAGGTCCAAGGTCAGGCTTTGGCAACTCACTCTCACACTGTGTCTCTCCATCTTGCCGTACCTTGTGTATTTCACACAGTAACAGTGGTGAAGATATCATGAGCTGACTCCGATTTACATGACTGTTGTGGTTAACTGCAGGCGATGGATGAGTTAAATCTTTAGTCTGATGGACCTTCACCCTCTCCACTCCCTTGTGAGAAACACTACCACCATGTGGACATACATAGAACACATCCAAACTCTCGCTTAAATAAATACTTCACGAAAGATAGCATTTAGCTTGAATTTTTTTTAATTGCCTCCACGGTTTACCTAAAATAAAAAAACCGAGACAATTCTGGATGAATTGAAGAAGGTCTTTTGTGTTTAACAAAAACAACTCTTATTCAAATCATCTTTTCACAACTTGTGCAGTAAAATAAAGTATCATTTATCCAGTTGTATACTCACTACTTCTAATTTAACAAAAAGTATGTTTTCTGAACAAGGTGTTTTTCTGTTGTTAAACACTGCCCCCTTTCTATAAGAGATTTTGGATTCTTCCTTCAACGTGAGAGAAAATGTGCAAACAAAGTAATTTGGTACACAGATTATCATTTTGGGGTAAGGTTGTTATTTTAATACATTGTCCTATTTCTATATTTCCTATGATGTTAAGTGGATTTCTATTGTATGAATGATTGTGGGTTACAGTTTTGAACCCTCTGTGTCACTTGTTGCGTGACCTAAGCACTTGCTGATCTGGAGCCAGATTGTTGTAACTGGA